ACACAGCACAGCAATATTCAAGCAAAGGCCAGATATTGATTTTGAAAGCAATTAGTCTGGTTTCTTTCAAGGTTAGCAGGTGGCATATGAGCCCGACCGACTGCTTAGCCTTTTTCACGATATGATTTGTATGTTCGCTAAAGTTTAAGGAACTAGAATATCTTAAACCTAAGTCACGAACAGACTGGCTGATGGGAATGACTTCATCATGAAGCCTGAACACTTCTGCTGCTATCTGACATCCATACGATAGAATACTACACTTCGATGTTGCAAATGTCATCTGCCACATATCAGCCCATCTCTCAATGGCTTTCAAGTCGCTTTGGATATTGTTAACTTCAGCGGTACGCTGAGAGCCTGGGAACGTGTAAACCACCTTTAAATCATCAGCAAACAAATAAGGCTTCCCAAATTGTATAACAGAAACCAGGTCATTTATATACAGTAGGAAGAGTAACGGGCCTAAGACACTGCCCTGCACCACTCCACTGGTAACCGGACGAGGTGAAGAGATGTAACCATTGATATCCACAACTTGCGACCGTCCTACAAGGTAAGATTGGATCCAAGAGTTAAGCGGATTTGTGACACCGTACTTACTTAATTTACATAACAGCTTTTTGTGTGGGACTCTGTCAAAAGCCTTTTGCATGTCGAGGAAGATAACAATGCACTGAAGACCTGAGTCAATTGCTTCAGTTAGATGGTTAAGGAAGTCAACTTGACAGGTAACACACGAGCGAGACTTCAGAAAGCCATGCTGTGAAGGTGAGAGAAGTTTGTGCGATATTAGGAAGGAAACCAAATGTTCCTTAACAATTCTCTCTAGCATGCGTGAGAGAATGGCTGTGTGACTAATGGGGCGGTAGTTCCGGATGTCAGTTTTCGACCCGGACTTATGTCGCGGTATAACCGTAGCCGTTTTCCAACGTTCGGGGTATTGACCAGACTGGAGAGACAAAGAGAAGATATTTAATACTATAAGAGGGATATCATCTCCACCGTGTTTGATTAAAGCAGAAGAGATCCCGTCGGGGCCAGGTCTGTAGGATGGTCGTAGACAAGTAATCATACGTTTTATCGTAGCAACACTAAGCTCGATCGCTGGGACTTGTTCAGAGAAGTGAAATGAGGTTGACAAATCCAGGGTTTCTTTTTCAACATTAAAGGATCTAGCAAAGTATGAGTTAAAGGCTTCCGCCATGGCAATTGGGGAATCAATGCAATCACCTTCGGGCATGACGATGTGGGAGGGTAGGTCAGTTTTGCCACCTCTCCTTTTCCTCAGTAATGCAGTCACCAGTTGACTTGTATTACTACTATTTACAGCCCGTCGTTCTTCCTGCATGAGACGAGTTCGATGTTTCATGTCCATCTCAATTATAAGGCGTTGGAGTCTCAGTAATACACTAAAGTCATGAGTACGTTCAAATGTTCGAGTTAGCACTCGAATTTTCCGCTTGTCCTTTGCGTTGTTAGCGTATTTAGAAGAGACTCTCGTATTATCACAGGAGGCAAGTATGCTTAAGCACATAGCCACATTGTCATAGAAGGTATCGGAGGCTCTCTTAATATCAGACGAAAGAAAGAAATGGTCCCAATTTTGGACCCTAAGCAAAGCTGAGAAATCTACCCAATTAATATTTCGCAGGAAGTGTGGAACCATCGCAAACCTCACATGCGACGACTCAGCTATAAGTTTACATCTGACTATTTTGTGATCACATCCAGGGAGACCGTCAATTACATCAGTAGCTATCTGGGAGGTGCCTGAGGTAAAAAGTAGGTCTAATATATTTTTTCCCCTGGTAGCCACGAGAACATGTTGCTCCCAACCACCAGTGATGACGGAGGTTATGAACTCTGCATGTTTCGCGTTTGTTACTAAGTTTGACCAACAGATATCTGGTAGATTGAAATCTCCACCTACAACTTTATCGAAGGAACCAAGATCCGATATGTAATTGAAGATGTCAACCAACTGGTTCTCATCACTGAAGCTGGTCCCGGGTGAGCGGTATATACAGCCTACAAGAGTTCGCTTAGTACCAAAGGACAAGAGTAACCAAGCGGAATCAATAGTGGGGCATATAAGTGGAAGTGTGAATTCAGACACAGTGAGGTACTGCGAGTAGTAAATTATGCAACCACCTCCTCTGCCTTGTTTTCGATCACTTCTAATAAGCTTATAACCATCAATAGAAAGCAGCTGGCTGGGCATAGATTCATGACACCAGGTTTCAGTGAGTAAAATCATATCAGGTTTATTCAGACTTATGAAGGTGCGGAGTAAATGAAGTTTATTCAACAGAGAACGGATATTGATTATCATCAGTTTTAAAAACTCCTGGCGTTGTTCATCACACTGTCCAGTATTTATTCTTGCAATCACATCAGTTCTAGAGCCTTCCGCAGCAAATCCCTTACCGTGAGATTCGCCAGTCCTATCGGGATTAGGGGGGGGGGGGAATGGGTGGGGGAATGCAAAAAGAATGCTGTGGTAATTTGGGGCGATCGAGCTTAATTGGATAGGGTGTAATTGCCGAAGGGCTCACAGAAGGCATTGTGAGAGGAGGAGGCGGAAGAGAGTATGGATAGGGGCATAAATAAGTGGTCTGTGATTCAGCAAAGCGATGTACAGGCCTGCCAGGAGAACAGCCTTGGTACATCGCCGGAACAATGGGGAATTGTGGCTTGCCACTCTGTGCAGCTGCATTATTATTCACGACTGTCATTGGGACACGGGGAGTCACCTTTCCAGCACGAAGGCCCCTGTTTGATCTAAGACGCTTAGGGCGCGAACCATGACCACTGCTGCTATGTGTAGTCATAATGTCAATGGGCCGTAACGTACATTCACTGGAGCTATCGACAGCCCCGTTTGATGTTTTTGGACTTGTATCTGTTTCAATAGTGGTGTGGGGATTGTTCCCAATCTCTACTGGTTTGTCAGAACGTGGTGCATCGAGTGAAGCTACACTATTTCCTATGTCCACAAGACTAATGTGGTGTGGAGGCGTGAGCATCTCAATTTCCGCTACGTTGTCGCCAGCCTTAGCATCGTTCGTGTGGAGAGTGGCCTTGCTAACATTATCTGCCTTTTTAGAAGGGGAGGACCAAACACTGTTGAATGATCTCCTTCTTTGCAATCCAGGAAGCGCGCAGGGAGGATGACTCTGCTTCGGCTCAGGCGCGACATTAGTTGCACTCATGCGTTGAAGCTCACGTTGCAAAGGTGACCTGTCTACGAATAGAATAACTTTGCAAAATATCGGGACAGATCTTAAAGTATTTTGACTTTTGATAAACGAATTTGCGAGACTTTCGCTACGGAAGCTGAACAGAGTCGGACAAGGAAAACGTAAAGATTTTTTCCTCAGTCTTCTACAACTAATATCGGTTTCAGCGATGTTGCACGCTCTCGAAACAGAGCGCCTAATGTTGTCAATCGCGATATTGTCAGCTATGTTGAGGGCGATGACGTTTTTTCCCCTTCTGCATCTTTGAGTAACCTCAGAGGCGATTGCATTTAGGAAGTTTAAGGCTCCAATTTTGTGCTTTTGCGCTGGATTAGCCGGAGACTGAATTATGTATGAAACTGACATTAGGAGATCTCCGAATGAGTCAAACATCTTTAGTTTCTCATTTTGTTCCTCTAACTGTTTTTCCAACGTCTTTATTTTGGCTGACAGTGAAGATATAAGGTCGACAACACTAACTGAACTTTCTGTGATTTGTTCTTTGGACTTATTTACCTGCTCTTGTATCCCAGGCTCGGAATGTGTGCAGCAGGGCACAGGTTCCTCGACACTCGTGACCGCAACGTTATTTACCGTGATTATTCGGTTTTCCACACGCTTTTTCCTCATTGCACGAGTGTTAATGGCAGTCATCAATCTTTTAAATGAGAAGATAAAAGCTATCTATAGTATATGCTATAGCCAAGCGTGAATTCTGGAGTAACAAAGGTCTCTAAGGTCCAGTGATTTACCTATTCAAGTCAACAGACAGGCCACTGTTTCAGATGCAACCAATGATACAAACCAACCGGATGTAAGAGTGCTGTTGTCCAAATTCCGCCAAGGGTAGACTGTCCTGCAGTGATCGACCGCTCCGTGCACAGGTATCCCTGAGGTCAACTCCGTGTGTCACGTTATGCCGCTAGTTCCAACAGGCGCACACGCACAAATCCGGCCAAACAAAGAGATTTGTGTGCGTTCGATAGAACGCGATTCACAATGCAGCGTGAGAGCTCTTGGTCAACCAAGGCAGTGTACGAAGATGGAATTGCTTCTAGTCGCCTTATGCAGCAACCGACAGAGTTGGTTTAGGTCTCCTGAAGTAGAGCTAGCAATAAGCTTTCCGTTAATTCCAAAAATCTTGATGAAGGTAGAAAAGTGGTGCACTCGTAGGCGAACGACAACGCTGAAACACAGCAAGAATTGAAAACCGGCGTTAGACGTCGATCCGTTAACAGTAGCCTAGAGAAAGTTTGCGCAATGGGTAGTCCTGATCGAGCCCGATTGAATGAGTGTACCCAGGCCGATGTGCGAAAAGATTTGAATCCGAAAACTTGAAAAGTCAGGAGCAACGAAAATTTTCCGACCACTTCCGGCTGATTACGAAACGCGTTACTCAGCTCGCGCGGCTAGTATAAGAAAAACACTGCATCAGAGCAGACCTTGTCTTCATACAATCGATAATTGACAAAACGATTTTTACAACGAAAATAAAGAAAAATATCTGGCGTAGAAAACGCGAATCAATCGAACGTGGCGCTTATGTTTGGTGAGTAGTCAGTCTCTGGGGGCTGGGTTCTATGGATGTACTCAATTAAATCTGATGCGTATCACAAATCGCTTGATGGACATGTGGTCTCAAAAGAGGCCGTCGGATTTCAGCTACTCATGCATAACTTGATTTCCTCTCTGTCTGCATCTTAGTTGGTTACTCTCCCGCACGTCCAGGCGCTCCATCAATTTGGCACATTTCCTCATATGACGCTCAAGAGTATTGCTGAGCAAGAAGGGGGTCCGACAGTATCGACAGCACAGTTCAACTCCGGTGGTTCCGGGCTCACCGTGAGTTCGCATGTGTCGAGTCAACTTGGAAAACTGAGCACACGCATATGGGCAAAGCTTGCAATGATACGGTTTCTTGCCTGTGTGACTCCTTCGATGTACCGTAAGGTTGCTGCAGTTCCGGAATACTTTACCACAGAATTCACATTTGTCTCGTCTGTTGGTCGTAGCGGAAGAGCGTCGGTTGTTGGTGTTTTGATGCGTGTTCGGTCTGCGTATCTGCCATGATGCATTCATCTTGGTTGACAAGCCGGTGGCTGCGAAATCTGTATTTACATGAGAGAATGTGGTAGGAAGTTGGCCTAGCAGTGGATCTGTTCCGAGATATGTTGCACCGGAAAGACCACGTGTGTTGTCTAGACGGAGTCCATAGTCGATGTGGTGGCCACAGATTACCTTGGGGAAACGGTCCCTGGAAGAATGAGATCCCCTGCCATGGACTTCTGCTTTGACTTGCCATACAAATCTGACTCTGTGGTGAGGTGTTCCTAGACGTGACAATCTTCGGACTTTGTTCCCAGGATTGGAACATTTTCAGATAGACATCGAATAGTACGGGAAATGCGACTTTCCCATAGGTTAACTCTGGCCCATTGAGATCCGTAACCGGCCCACTTATTAGAACCTTGTCTCTGTTGGATGGCGTGTTGGTAACATCGGACCATTTTCCATACGAAACTACCGCGTGTTCCTTGTGGTTCGCTAACCGACACCCGTCGAGACGCTGATGACGATGTTCATTTGATTTCGCTTGCAGCTCACAGAGTCCCTCGCGATCGTCAGCGGACTCCAGGCGAAATAAGTCCACTTGATGCACCGCACCCAAGTGGTTCAGCAATGTCCATGCGGTTGCCTCATGTAGACCGCAAAGGCAGCATCGGAATCGAATGTACGTTTCTGTGTTAAAGATGAGGGAAGAGCAATATTTTACTAGGTGATTGCAACCACTTACGGCGCATTATGACAAGCGATCAAGTGCCATCCAGTAATAACCGAAACTGATTTGGGCATTATTCTGTGTGACTGAGGCTGCTTAAACGCAGTGCTTATTGATAGAATTTGCATTCAGTTAAAATGTGAATTAGTGGTGACGTTGCCAAATGACAGAAAGCGTCATATGTACACCATAAACAAATCATTATGATGAAATTCATGCTTATAAGCTTGCCATCCCCGTAGTTAAGTGGCCTCAACCACGGACGGGCAACAGTCGAGTTGCGGGTTCGAGCCCTACCAGTGTCCGATGGAATGCGCACTGCTGACGATTCCTGAAAGGATGAAACGTGCGTACAGTGTTTTTCCGGGCGTATGATGGCTGTCTGATTGAGTCTAGATATGAAGAATTTCTATTTATACCATTCAACTCCCCCCTACTACTCCTCTGTAATTTGTGTGTTTATATGATATTTAAGTTTTTACGATTATATCCGTATTGTGTTTGATATCCTTTCTTCTAAACAAACAACTACATTTTTACGTAATAATAACCCATAATTCTAGTTTGCACAAGCTGATCCTCCGCAGCTCTAACGCGCACCTAGAGGGTACTCACAGCCTTTTAGACAGATCAATAGTGGTTCGCTTATCGATGGTACTAGTTGTATCGAATGCTACTGGCGAGCTATCGAGGATAGTGGATGGTTTGTTGATGGATCGATGGCGGAAGTGTACGGAATGCAAAGTTACGGAACGATGGCAATATTTAATAGCCAGATATTATCGGCGCAAAATCAGTCTTGACGGCAGTTTTTAATACAGCTGTTTTAAGTGTCTCCATCTTCTTGTTTCATAACGCCATGCGTATTTTTGATTTTATCTCAGGTTTATATACACTGGTAGGAGGAATCCACTTTGTCCGCATTGATTCTCGGATTTTACCTGTAACTACAATAGTGCATTAGGCATTATTGACTCTGCTCACTTATTTGCTTTTGATCCTTTATTCCTGTCTTTGCTCAACCGTTGCTGTCCCTTCTTTTTAGCTCTCTATCCACTGTGTTGTCATAATCTTTCCTGTATTTTAGTATGCGGCCATGATTTCTATGGAAAAACGCAACTCTTAGTCAACTAGCAATCTAATGGACTTTAACAACATGCATTCATCCATCTCACATGCATTACATCACGCGGATCCGGCGTCGAACCAAATCCCTTCTGCCTCTTCCGTGTCAACTTCAACAGCATTGTTCCAACAAAGTCCCCACATCCGTAACATTTGCCACAAAACATTTTCCACTGAAGCGAGTCTTTCTCGCCATGTGGGATATCACCCGCGACATTCAAATGACCGGCGTCTCCGATGAGAAAGTAACAACGTGTCAAAACTTGATCATCATTTTGCATTAGCCCGGGCTTTGAAAACTCACTATCGTCGGACACACCCTACGAACTGCACAGATGCGCGTCATTTAGCCAATCACTGGTAGGAGACCCAGCTTGATGCCACTGAAGAGTTTCGTCGTTGTGACCACTCAGAAGCCCCTATAAGCTCTACAAATAACTCCACGGAGTCCACAGGATCCACAACTCCACAAGCACATACATCTCCACTCCCAACGGTCATGCACTCATCCTAGCCGGGCACGGCGGCCTATGAACCACCAACGGCGCAGAAAGTTGCCCGTTTACCCCATGTCCCCCGTTCCAACTAGTCGGATCCGCGAACCAGCTGATATTCACATGAATGAATCGAGTGGAACAGGCTTAACTGACCCCAATCCCAGTCCGCGAAACCACTGTCATTCCTCACCTGTATGAGCACGCTGTCAAGCGAACCAATCGGCAGACGTTAGATCTCCGATTTTGTCATCAAATCCTTCGACGGAACGAACTCCTGCGACTGCTTCCCAATTCCCGACACCTCCGTCACCTTCCCAGTCCGCATCCGATTCCAATCGTCCGCAGTATTTTTCATGCAGCTTACGTTCCCCACTTTTCCTTACCGAAAGTGGCTTACAACGGCATTTGGCGGCTCACAGCCGGAACCCAACAACAGCGTTTAATCCAGTTCCCACAACTGGGGCTCAAGCACATAGCTACCAAGAATGCGGCCTGATATCTCGTACGAAAATCGGCCACTCCAAACATCGTAGACATAGGCATTGCTCACATTATAGCACTGACTGTTTGATGCGTTTACCTGCTCAGTCTCTTAAGTGAGTGTCGCACGAGGACAACGAACTTATCTTCCGAGCATCAGAACTGTCTCGGATTTGTGCGACACAGCTAGAATTACATCGGCGGCTTCAGAAATTATTCACAATAAGGACTCTTAACAGTTTAACGAAACGCTTATTTCATTCAGGCTGGTATTCCGCTTCGAATTACGGGGTTCTCCTGCGGACTCAATGCCTTTGCCTAACAGACAGATAACCCAACAGCCTCAGGGTTTCTCCCAAAAAAATCCGTGGTACACTCCGCCACGTACTCTTTCTTCCTCTTCTACTATGGAAGAGACGCAATTAAGAAATTTGCCTACAACTGTCGCTGGCCTTGGCGAAACCTCTTGGCCACAGAATAAAACCTCTACACACTTGGGTGATCAGCCACGCAGTTCATCGCTTGATAATAACACTATATTTCAAAGAGTAATCATGGAAGCTCACCGCTTAATAGCTTCGTGTGAACATACAGAAAGGAGACAACATTCCCCACTTCGAAATTTAGTGAAGACCTTCATGAAGGAAGATAGGCGAGGCAAATTTAGTGCATGAGTACACACCATCTGTGCCACGCCTTTCCCGCATAAATGAAAGCGAACCAAGTGCCGGAAACGGCTGCAAAACATAAGGAATAATCGTCAGCGTCGGCGCCTACAATATGGATATATTCAACAGCTTTACTACACTAGACTCAAAGATTCCGCTACAATGGTTATTGATGCTCACTGAAGAACAACATTCTTACAAGAAGGCGATGCAATTCTAATTTTTTTTTACCAAGCATTAAACGATTGTGTTTTCTCAGCCGTCAGTAGTCGACGTAATGTTCCCTCTAGCCATTCTCCCTCCTAACATGGATCTAATAAAACCAAATATGAAAGAGGAAATTTAGAAAGTGCTTCGAAACATGTAAGGTCGCGCACTGGGTGTGGATCGCAGTAAACCAAAGGATGTCGCTAAAATGGATCCACTTTTCATTACTGCTTTCCTTAACCGTATCCTCCCTTTCTCTCCATTTTCTTCACATATGAACGTTGCCCGAGCCATCTTTGTGCCCAAGGTCTCAAAACCGACCTCTCCGGAACATTTTCGCCCCATATTCGTCGTGTCGGTGTTCACGCGCCTACTGCACCGGAGGATGCTTCCCACTTCACGAACTTCATCCAGTTCGAATAGTTCCTTTGATCCCTTCATAAAATGGCGAATACAAGAAACAAACAGACGAATTAACAGTCAGGTTAACAAATTCACTCACCATGTCCACCTACACATACGTCAGCGTGACTTACACATACACCTGGTAGGCAGCATCCGGTTCCGGATTTGCCTGTCACTATTGCCTCCACGGGGATAGCCACAGGACGCCTGCGCCTACAGAGCAAAAATGGGTGGCATGCGCTGCACCACCCATAGTTCCACCCACACACCCCATATCCAGTGTAAACCCGAAGTAATAATCCGGCAGGCCTGGGGATGGTAGACACGTTTCATCAACGGAGCCAGCACACACTCCTTCACAAGCAAAAACAAACAAGCTGTATTTGAGGAATCAAATGCACACAAGGCGGTGTCTGGACAGTAGTCCGCTCCACATTGGACGGAACCACTCTTCGAGCTTAGCACGGCCACAGGGACCGTGCACTCCGTACCCTCCAGCAACGACAAACTGTCTTCTGGAGCCAGTATGGACGATGTAGTGGGTAATAGACATGTAGGCACCTTGTCAACATGCACATCAACCGCAGCCACACCGGGGATGCCAAACAACAGCAATCACTCGAAAGGACAATAATAAATAATAGTTATCAAATACAGCATACCGATAAACTGAATTAACTCTTCGTAAATGAGCATGTGAAAACACTTGGTTATCAACAATTCCTCGATAAGTTTAATATGTCAACAAAGATATTTGAGATATGCTACAAACGCGAAGAGTTTAACGAATTTAACCAAAATCTGCTTAAGCGACGTTGTTAAGTAAAAATACAAACAGCTAAATGACTTAACAAACTAAGCATTACAAAATATATCAAACCAATCATCTGAAATAAAGAAACATAACAC